TTGTACCATTGTAGATGCTAAGAGGGTTTTGATTGCAAAAGTAAATATGTCTCAAAATCGACTATTTCTTTGAAAATCAATCATGCTTTGTTTGTTTGTTTTAATATAATTCTGAAATTTGTAATGATATTTGGTTGTAGCATATGCGGTTTGGGCATTATCATTTATCTGGGTTAAATTATCTAGTGAGAAAGGAGCTTGTTTATGATTTACCTGTTGTGAATATCCCCGACCGTATTCGTAAGATTTGTTTGATTGGGAAGAAGCATATGGATTCTTTTCTTGTGGGCAAGTCAAAGATAGCCACAAAATAGTTAGAGGTTGTTCACTTAGATCTGTGTTCATTGGAGCTTTGCTCACATGGAGGTTGTCAAACTAAGAGTGCTCATGAGAAGATACCTAAGGAAGCTTGGAGTGGGAAATTTCCCTCTATCAGAGATCTCAAGGTTTTTGGTTGTTTAGCATATGCAAATTTGCCAGATCAATTGAGAAAGAAGTTTGATGATAAATGTGAGAATGATATTTTTATTGGTTATAATGATGCTTCAAAGGCTTGAAAACTATACAATGTTGAAACTAAAAAGGTTGTTATAAGTCGTGATGTCACTTTTGATGAGTATAATGCCTAGGATTGGTCAGCTAAAGAAGAAATGACAATTATTTGTTCCTATTGTTCATATTTTTCTTGAAAATATTGTTGATGAGTAGTCAACTCCAGATAATGTTCAATCTCCATCACATCAAAAAACTTGTTACTAGTAATGTGGCACTGGCCAATCCAGCACACGGCGTTTTAATGCTTAGGTGGACACTAAGAGTAATTTTTTTTATTCTTATTTGTATTTATTTCTTATTTTTTATTTATTAATTTATGAAAAAAAAAATAGAACTATTGGCAAAAAATTGCTGGTGAGCATCTTTTGTTGATGGATAGTTGTGGGTTGTCAGTCTACTTGAACTAGACAACCATGGCTATTTGGAACGAAACCTTCATTCCAAATCTCTGATCTATCTCTAAAGAGGGGTAGATATGGACAAATACTCATGGTTGTTTAGTTAAGGTTGATGGACAATCATGTGACTGTTTGTCAAAAGAAGACAACCACCAACGTTTCTAGGCAATGGCTTCTTTAAAAAAAAAAATCAAAAATAGAAATAAGAAATAAATTTTAAAAAAAAATAAATGAAAATAATAATTCGTACACTCAACGTTCACCTAAACGGCTAAACATTAAAATGCCACAAGTTAGCTTGGTCAACGCTACTTCAATGGTAACCTACTAAACAGGTAATAATAGGACGTAATTGCACTATTTTGCTAGTTTAAGGGTCTCATTTGTGGTTTTTGTTTTCTCAATTGGTAGACCCAATTTCACAATTCATTATACTTAAGTGGTCAATTTAACACTTTTTCCTTGAAATTATTTTTATATCATAGAATTGTTTTCAAGGACAGTGTATCATACTCACTGTTGCAAAAATCGGCCTAGGCGCCCCTAGGCCGTGGGGATTTTCCCCCTAGGCGGCCGTCTAGGCGCCTCTCAGCCGACTCGGCCGAGTTGGTGGCGAACTCGACAAAGTTAACTCGGCCTACTAATTTTTTTTTCATTATATATATTAGTGTGATGGTATCCTAGTTACCATTTCAAATGAATGGTTATAAGTTCGAACCTTAGTGGTAGGGGCGTTAGATTCTTTGGGTTAAAAATGTTTGAGAAAGTATCTTGAAAATGTTTAAGAAAGTATCTTGATAAATGGTTATATGATTTGAATGCTAGCTATAATTAGCACAATGGTACATGAGATGAAGAAGCTTAATTGAGAAGTATTAGGAAGTGGTGATAAGGCAAAATCTAAGATGAAGAAAGTGGTGATAAGGCAAAATCTAAGATGAAGAAAGTTCTGTGGTGATACAATGGTTATATGATTTGAATGCTCGCTATAATTGGTACAACTCATTCTCAATTGAGCAATGAAACAAACAAGAGTGGAGTATTTGTCATGCTTTGCTCAATTTCAAGCTATGAAAAGAAAAGATAGAGTTTGCATCTAAGACAAATTTAGATAGATATTTGGAAGATGAAGTGTTACATATGACATCTAATTTTGATATTTCAATTTGGTGGAAATTAGATGGTTCTTTGTATCATACTTTACTAACAATTGTTAAAGATATTTTGACTATTCCCATGATAAAAATTGCCATAGAATCTTATTTTAGTACATGTGATAGCTAGGCTCATCAATCTTAATTGGAGTAGACTACATCCGAACATTGTTGAAGTCCTAGCATATATGTTGTCAAAATTAGTTATTGACAGATAAATGTAACTTTAACTTTTTATTTATTTTATTTACGCATTTATTGCTTTATTTAATTTATGTTTAATTACTTAATTTATACTTTGATTCGACTAACATTATTAATGAAGAAGCAAGTACAATTGCTATAACTTTGGATGATGAAGAAGAATGGAAAATGAAGTTAATGTAGGTATTCTTGATTCAATAATTGTTTTTATTTTCAATACATTATTTCTTTTTTCAAATAATGTCTAATTTACTTTAGCTAACTAATTAATTATTTTATCTATTAAATTTTTGTAGGATTGATTTGCAATGTGATGAAAATGTATAAGTTGGAAACATATTGGCATAGCTCAAGATTAGAAAAAGAAATCAAGTGATAGAAACCATAGTCATATGAAACATCTTTCAATGTTTTTAATTAGGTATTTAAAACGAAACATCTTTTTTTTTTTTTTATCTTTTATCTTTTTAAGTTTTCATCTCTAAAATAAGTTTATTTGAAAAATATTGAACAATTTAATTGATGTATTTGAATAATTTTATTAGTTTATGTTTTTAATATATTTAGCAAATTTTATTTTGTGTAATAACTAGTCTAAATATATAAACAATATTTAGAAGTTATTAATTAAATACAAAATGGTAGTTATTGGTAGATATCCATAGTAAGTGCTTGCATTTGGTGGGGAGGAAGTGAGTTCTGAGAACCTTCACCAATTGCGCGAGTCAAGGGCGAGGGTGGTAGAGTAACGTACAGTTGTCATATCGTGGACTATGGTTCAAAAATGGCGTCGCTTTTTTAAGTAAAGAAATAATTACCGTTACATCTTAACAGAGCCCGTATTTTTTGTGTGTTCATAATAAAATGAAACTACAGTGTATCTAAAATGAAATTGTCTCACATATTATTTTTATATTATCAAATAAAACTGTAATTGAATTGAAATGATACTTTAGTTATGTTGAAATGAAAATGCAGTATATATAAAATAAAACTGAATGATATGTCTCACATATTGAATGTATATTGTCAAATAGAACTATAGTTGAATAGAAATGATACTATAGTTGTGTTGTAATGAAACTACATTGTATATAAAATGAAACTGAATAACAGTTTCACATATTTGGGTGTATATTGTCTAATGAAACTGTAGTTATATCGAAATGATACTGTAGTTGTATTGTAATGAAATTACAATATATATAAATGAAACTGAATAACAGTTCCACATATTGAGTGTGTATTGTCAATGAAAGTGTAGTTATATCGAATTGATACTGTAGTTGTGTTATAATGAAACTGCAGTGTATATAAAATGAAACTGAATAATAATTTCATATATTTGGGTGTATATTGTCCAATGAAACCATAGTTGAATTATAATTATAATTTAATGGTGTTGTAATAAGACTACAATGTGTATAAAATGGAATTCAATAACATGTCTCACTGTAATAAGACTATTGTATGTATAATGTCGAATGAAACTGTAGTTGGAACAAAATGAAATTCTAGTTATGTTAAAATGAAACTACAATGCATATAAAATGAAACTGAATATGTTATACAAATAGAGCTACTTTACGCGGAACGACGCAAAATGGGTGTCGCTTCTTTTCATTAAAAGAAACGGCACCGTTTTGGACCATGACCCACAATGCTTTGTGGACCATGGTTCACGGTATAATTTGCTAGTAATGTAGAAGTGGGTTGCTTAATGGTGTAATATATTTCGATCCACGACTTATTGTCATTTTTATGTTTGGGTTATAAACTCTCATATATTAGATTTAAAAGTAAAAGGATAAGAGTCAAATAAGCTATTCAATTTTTATGAAAAGTGCAAATAAGTTCTCAAACTCTTAGAAGTTCTAAATAAGTCATTGAACTTTGAAGAAATGATCAATTAGACACTTTTTTACCTCCTATAGCAAGTTAACATTAGGTTATAGCTGATTTAGGGGTGACGGTGGTTCTAGTTCCGAACCGACTGTTCTTGATTTTAGAAAATGACGAATCGGCAGTTCGAATCATTTTTTTTGGTAAAATCTATTTTTATTTTTAAAATAGTCCAAATATAACAATTTTTTTTTTTAATTTTACCATTTTGAAATTTTTAAAAAGGGTTATATCAAATATTTAAATTTTAAAGTTAAAAAACAAAATTGAACTTGCACTTAATTTTACCAAGATATGTAGAAAACTTAATCTTAGTAAAATTAAATGTAAGTCCAAAATTATTTTTATTTTTTAGTTTAACTTTAAAATTTAATATCTGATAAAACTATTTATTTAAATTTCATAATGAAAAAATTCTTTTAAAAAAATCAATTGTTGAATTTGGACTATTTTAAGAATAAAAAATAGAATTTATCCAAAAAAATAGTTTGAATTAGTAGTTTGAACCGGAAGGGTTATTTCGCCATTTTTCAAAATCGGGAATCGCTAATTAGGAATCGGAACCTCGGTCACCCTAAATCAACTATAAGCATATAACCTTTGTTAACTTGTTATAAGAGGTACAAATGGTTTAATTGCATCATTCTTTCAAGTTCAATGACTTAATTGCATTTTTTTTTTATCAAAATTGAATGACTTATTTAACACTTATGCCAAAATAAAATTTATATATATTTCTCTTAAATTGGATAATATTTTAAATATCGTATTTAAAAAATTACTGGAAATTTTGATCAAGCCCATGAAAATGCAGCAAAATCGAATTTGGCTTCCATATCTATCTCACTGCCCATCAAGAGAGAAACAACGAAAGCCATTGTTGAAGCACAAGAGGGATGCAATTCCTACTCCAAACGGGTATGGATTCGACCTTAAAATCATCCTCTTCGTCGGCATCGATTACACCATCACTGCTTTCAATTCTCACAAAGAGAAATTGCTACAGAAAAAGGTTCTCTTCAACCATCTCCACATCTCTTTATATAAAACATATATGATTGAAGTATTCCTTCATTTATCTGCTTTGATTCTTTCCTTGGTAGCAAACCGGAAATTTATAGTTGTGAAAGCTAGAGTTCGAATAGTATTTGGAACAGTATACTCTCACAGGAATTATATCTAACACCTGGTGGGTATGTGCAAGCATAGAGCAAATAAACATAAACTAAACAAGTGAAAGCTATGGGAAGTGAAAGTTTTTGTGATGATTTACAATTATCCATTGAGCAAGAGAGCATATCAACAAAACAAGCTCATAAACTGAAGCAGATATAGATAAAAGGAACCCGGGCAGAGCGGGTGTAAAGACTAGGATATGCAAATCTATCTTTCAAAACTGAAAAATCTAGCATAATAGAAAAAAGAAAAACATAGAAAATGGAAAAGTAAAAATCTTTTGAGAAGCCATCGTGTTTTATCAGTTCTAGAGCTCTGCAAGGTGAGGTTGTCATTTTGAGACGGCATCCTATTGTCCTCATTTTGTACATCATCATCAGACCAAAGGCTAGCAGATTGAACATGTTTCTTGTCTGTCTTCTTCAAGCTTGATCTAAAGAGCAGCTAGCCTTGTTGGATCTTTGCAGGAATTCCATTACCAAATTAGAAAACTCGGAAGATTTATCTTTCAGCAGTTTGGCAGGAGAATCATATTCAACAACCTTCCCTGCATTGACCAAAATGTCCATAGTAACAATATTAGGCATTATCCAATCACTTAGAAGAAGTTTCTTGCTTTTGGTTAGGATTGCTAATTAGTCTTTTAAGATCTTGAAATTGCTATATGCACTACTTTGTGTGTGTGTGTATATATATATATATATATATATATATATATATTAAATAACTACTTTGTATGCACTAAAAACCTATTTTGTTTAGTATTTTAATGTGTCCTTGGTTTTATATACTCTGTTTACTCCATAGTGCTGCTGGGTTTGAATCCTTACCATCACCAAGGACTAGAACCAGGTCATTGTCAATAACTGTGGGTATTCGATGTGCCACTGTTATGACTGTGCATCCGCTTGTTTCTTCTCTTATTGTCTTCTGAATCTGATTGTCTGTTGCTGTATCGACTGAAGCAGTAGCCTCATCAAGTACTAATATTCTCCTCTTTTGTAGTAACACCCTAGCTAAGCACACAAGTTGCCTTTGTCCTACACTCCAATTTTCTCCATCTTCCGCAACTGTACCATTTTCAGAGTTTCAGTAATTAATTTACTGAATCTAAACATGCATTTTCTTATAATTTCTTATAATGCATACCTGGTGCATCGAGGAACCTCTGGTCCTGCTGTAGTATCTCAGCAAGATTACACTTGTGCAAAACCTAGATACCAGGTCAAGTTAGTCAAGATCAAGATTAATTGTCATATGCTTCAAATATCAAGTCAGGTAATGTTTTTTCTTATGTTTACCTCCCAAATATCCTTGTCAGAGTGCTGCTCTAGGGGATCAAGGTTTGTCCTCACAGTTCCCTGGAACATAGTTGGATCTTGAGGTATTATACTCAACCTAGACCTCAGATCTTGCAAACCTATCTTTGAAATATCTACGTCATCTATCAGAAGGCATCCCTCTGCTGGTTCTACTACCCTGAAGAGAGTGTGGATCAGCGTAGACTTCCCGCTTCCTGTTCTTCCCACAACACCAATTTTCTTTCCCTCAGGAAAAGTGCAGGTGATTCCTTTTAGAACTCGAGGGAGATCAGGTCTATACTGCACACTTAAATTTAGAATTTCAATTCTTCCATTATGTGGCCAGAAGGATTTTGGCCTGCTGTTTTCAATTATCAGTGGTGGTTCACTTGGTATATTGGTGAACTGAAGAATTCTCTCAACAGAAATCATCTTGTTTTCAACATTACAGAGGTTCCATATCACCCAAGCTTGGAGAACATTTAAATTTAAAGCATATGTAGTTGCTAATCCTGCTAAGCCTGCAATCAAATTAATGAGTTTGATATTTTAATACAGTATTTCAATTAGTAGAATATTTTAGCTGTAATTTCAAGCTTTAATTATCACTAAATATGATGATGGTTATTATTCAAATGCATGGCTTAGGAAGAGAACAGGATGCACTTACTGGGATCAATGGCTGATCTGGGAAGGTTCACCAGTATGATAAGAAGAAATAAAAAACCAAGGTTGAAGAGAAAGTTTATTCGGACACTGAGCCATTCCATTGTGGCAGAGTTGTAAAATGCAACACGAGAGTAGCAATCAATGAGGCTCAGATTCTTCTTCAACAATCTGTCTTCCTGATTGAAGCAGCGAATTGTTACTACCCCACTGATTGATTCTGAGAAGTGATGTTGAACTGGAGCTTTCTGAGTGCCAACCATCCTAGCAAGTTCTCTAGCAGTGGTAATGTAATATGCCTGGAATTTAAAATGTTACCGATAAATCATTATATTGATTTTTTAAAATCTCACTATAATTGCATAAATTTTCAGGAATAACATTTATTCTTTGGAATGTCAACTTTATATGGTTTCTACTCTTTGAACTCATAAATAAGCAAGTAATTTTGTTGCAGGTTCTTGTAATCTTGGAGGAGATTGTTTTTACCTGATACCATATGGAGATGGCAATTATGATGAGGAAGATGAAAAAGACTGGCCAGGCAGCCTGGGACATAAGAACTATGATACTTAGTAATTGAATAAGTGCAAATACTAGCCCTGCCAATCTATATGGAATATCTGTATCCACCGTGCTTTGATCTGTGGAGGACTGAAAGGGAAGAAGAGATAAGTTAGAATTTGATCTGAACTTCTGATATTAAAAGAAATACACTAAAAGAGATTTTCTGTATTTGTGTATGTACTAACACGATTGAGAATTCTGCTTGAAGGTGTGGAGTCAAAGAATGACAAAGGTGCTCGAAAGACTGATTTGGCCATCTGAACAAAGAGCTGCTGAGCAGTCTCAATTGCAATGGTCGAAAGCAAAACTGCCCTTCCCAAGATAAAGATGGAGCTTCCCCCAGATAACAAGACAAATATCCTGAGCAATTTCGCTCTGGACATCCTGCCTTCTGTCTCTGTTCCCCATGTAATCCAGTAATTGCTTGCAATTTGCAGCCCTTGGAAGAGGATGTGGCACAGAAGGACAGGGGCAACAAGATATCCTTTATATGCAGCAGTGAGAAATATGGAGTATACTTTCCATTTAACTCTTCCAGTTTCTGTCTCTTCCTGATTTCTCTCAAACAGCTGATCACTGCCGGTGAGAACATCAAACTTTTCTTTTTCTTCAATTACATCATTCGTAGTGTTATCTTGTTTTGAAGAAGAATCTTGGGAACGGTCCACTTGATTTAGAGATCTTGTGTGGGCAACCATATGTCTATGCAGCTCACTAGTTGAGTCTACAATTAAATTTTCATATTTTCCTGATTGAACAGTCATGCCGTCTTTCATTACCTGAGCATAAAACATGCATAAAAAGTAAGACATGTATGTTCTAAAAAGTTAATACTAATTCATTATAAGACTTGCAGAGTTGCAGGTGAGTGTAATCTTAGCATACCAAGATCAGGTCTGAAGCATCTAAAAATTCCAACTGATGGGTGGCATAAATAACAGTTTTGCTGCATAAGCTCTCCATGAGACATTTCTGCAAAGTGATTTCCAGATTGAATGTGTTATCAAATCATTAAGAAAACTGAGTGATGTATAAACAGATTTTACTTGCCTTGAAGATATGAGCGCCGGTTTTTGCATCAACAGCACTGAAAGGATCGTCTAGTAAATAGATGTCTGAGTCACTGTACATTGCCCTTGCCAGCTGAACTCTTTGCTTCTGTCCCCCACTTAAGTTTATTCCTCTTTCTCCCACTAGAGTAAGATCCCCATCAGCCCACATACCAAAATCATATGTTAAAGCACAACATTCCACAACATCATCATAATATGTTTTATCCATTTCCCTGCCAAACAACACATTATCTCTTATAGTTCCTGTTTGAATCCATGCAGTTTGTGCAACTAGTGCTTTGGAGCCATATGATTTGATACTTGATCCAGAAACCTTTGGAATCTCTCCCATGATGCTGCACAGTAAGCTTGATTTGCCAGAACCAACCGAACCACATATTGCGACCTTGCTTCCTTTTTTGATTGTTATTTTATGATTTATCTTAATTGTTGATTTCTTGGAATCATCATACTCCCAAGCATATTCTCCAGGCTCAATTTCAAGTGCGACTTCAGATGTGTCAGAAGCGTGATAGCTGGTTAGCTTCTGTTGGTCTTCCTCTCCAATGAACTCTTGCATCCGTCTAACTGAAACCTTTGTTTGCACCACTGTGGAGATGAGCTCTGGGAGATTATATATGGGCTCTTGTAAAATCCGGAAAGTTGCTAGAGCTGAAAGAACCGTGCCCGCTGTTAATGGCGTGTTTGTCACAACACAAACGCCAAAGGTCACGACTGAAACTAAAGTCGGGGAAGCCCAAAAGAGGAAAGCCACAGCGGAACATGTATAAAGGTATCTTCTTAGCCAGCCCTTCTCGGTTTCTCTCAGTGTAAGGAGCTTGTTAAAAAACGCAGTTTCCCACGAATGTAACTTCAAGATTTTCATGTTCTTTAAGATTTCAGATGTGGCCTTAATCCTCGAGTCCTTGGCTTCCATGATCTTCGTCTGAAGCTTCTTCTGCATACTGGCAAACGGGATATTGCTCAACATCACAACGATCGTCGCAACAAAAGCAGCCGCGGAAGGAGCAGCACCCAAGTTCATGTACAAGATGAGCAATGCAAAAATGACCTGAAAGGGAAGTAACCAAATCCAATGGATGAACATGAAGAAGTCCCCAATCCTCTCCACATCAACATTGAGGAAATTAATGACTTTCCCTGTGCTCACACTGCCATGCTTAACTGTCAAAGACTTCTTGTAGGTCAAAGCCATGAGAGCTGCTCTCACTCTAATCCCAATGCGGTGAGCCCCAAAATACCATTGCCTTTGGGCAAGGGATTCCACCATCTTTGCAATGAAGAAGATGAATGAGAGAAGCAATCCCTTTTGCCAGTTTGAATTGTCATGCTTTTCTGACAAGAACTTCACAAAGCTTGTGATTAGCAAAGGGCCGATATAGGAAGCTATCGTGTTGGTTCCTATACAAACGAACAGAAATTTATGTTAGTACTGTTTATGCTAAACATAAAAACCCCTCCATGTTTAACGTCCCATTTACTTACACAAAATGAAAATAGAGAGAATAGGAATGCTAGGCAGGATTTTGAATTACAAATTTTGGTTGGATGCATGGTTGAGGAATAGAAAATGAATATATAGACAAATCATAAAAGTGCACATGCTTGAAATAAATAAAATTATATATACATATGCATGGCGACTGGCGAGCACAACAACAACAACAATAATAATAATAATAATAATAATAATAATAATAATAATAATAATAATAATAATAATAATAATAATAATAATAATAGTGTCTTCTCAAAATATATATATATATGGAGTAATAATAATAGTGTTGTTGTAATTATTATACAGTACCATTTTAATATAAATAGTCAAAGCGTAAAATTTCTGAGTTTTTTGCACTTTTGGTCCCACAACTATAGTGGCACTATCAAAATTGATCCACGACTTTCAGACCTTGCAATTTTAGTCCACGACTATTGTTTTTTTGGCAAAACTGGTCCTTCCGGCCACTTTTCCGTCAAAATTCTACCGGAGTAAAATTTCTTCATTTTTAAGAGGGCTAAATTTGACATTTCCCTTAACAATTCTTCCTAGATAAAAAACAATTCTTTATTGCAAAATATGGCATACAAGCCTCTTAAACATGTCAACTTTAGCCTTCTTAAAAATGAAGAAATTTTACTCAGATAGAATTTTGACGGAAAAGTGACCGGAAGGACCATTTTTGCCAAAAAAACAATAGTCGTGGACTAAAATTGCAAGGTCTGAAAGTCGTGGATCAATTCTGATAGTACCACTATAGTCGTGGAACTAAAAATGCAAAAAACTCTAAAATTTCTAGTCTATTCATTGAGTGTTATACTATTGTTTGGTTGGACTAAAGAATTACATGCATGATTAATCAAATGACTAAATTATCTATGCTCAAAATAATAAATAAATAGATAAATAAATAAATAAATATGTATAAAAATTAAATTAATATAAAAAAAATTTATTTATTTATATCGTATGTGCGTGGCACACACATACACAACAAAAGAGTAGTTAATATTATAGGGAAAGGACTATTCCTGTTGCAAAGGAATAGAGCAACTAATTCAATTTATTTTAATGTAATATTATTTTAATCTCAATTTATTTCGTGAACTAAACATTACCTAACAACTAGTTTAGTAAGAAGTTGCAATTTCTTTTCCAAATAACTCCAAAACTTAAAAAATATAGTTCTCATGTTTGATACCAGCTAAGAGAATAAAAGCTTCATGGAATTGCATAGGATTAAAAATCCATGCATGTCCCCTAGGATTTTTTTATTATTATTTTTTAGATTCCTTAAGTTGTGCGAAAAAAATTTGGAGCTTTTAGGCAAAAATAATATTCTCTATCTAATCATAACTTTGTATAATAATAAATAATTGATTATTATAGTTTAATATATTTTATTATAATATTATAAATATAATTAATTTTAATTTATAATTTTAAAGCTATAATACAATTTATTTCATTATTATTGTTATTATTATTTTGGTGTACCTAGGTTTTGCCACAGAATTTAATTGTAAGCATCTCTTTTGAGTGGAACAAAAGGTCTGCAAATTTACAATTGCTGCATACCCAAAACCAAACTAAGGATCGAAACCTTGCCTTTGGTTATTATTATTAGCAAATTAGACATTAGAATAGATGGAGCAAGTAAGAGTTTAGAGGATATATATGATTATTACCAGCAAAAATAGCATTTATTGCAAGAGGCCTCCAGACGGAATAGAGAATGGCAGATTGCAGGGAATTAGGCATGAGAGTAAGAGCTTGTTCCAACACAAAAGAAGCTTGATGAGCAGCATCTAATCTGGGAACATTACTTATATCTTCCACTCTAAGCTTCTCAGCATACCCTTTCTTAAACAAAGGATTAAGCCACATAAACGTAAGCCCACTCCAAATCCCTCCTTTTGAAAACTCATCTTTTTCATCATTATTATCCTCCTCTAATAAGGCCGCCCTTTCAAGTAACGCCTCTTGCACCATATCATCATTGTTTTCCATGCCACCAGACTATATATATATATATATATGATGTTCTTTAGTTGATGGAGTTGAGGTTTTCGATCAAGAACGCAAAAACTCTCGTCTTGTCGGCTGGTCTGCGGGGTTAGGGGTATTGTATGAATTGAAGATACTTCCTTATCATATCATATATGATATATATATATAGAAGAAGACTTGCATTGAGTCCACTAGATATATAGAATCTTAACAGTTAGTTATCTCATCTTTAATTACGGAAACTTCCAAATTTGTGAAGACTATAATGACTTCTTTTTACAGCGTTAGTTGCATAATTTAGAACATAGTTTCCTAAGTTAATTGCCACTTCCCAATTTGTGATCTGATCTCTCACCAATTCAAGTATTCAAAATATATATTAAATAAAATAAAAATTTCTTGAAAAGTTATTAATTAAAGCATTTGGTTCATTTAATTCTGTTAAAGACTTAAAGATACGGAGTATTAAAAAAAAAGGTTTAAGATATCATTTGCTACACTGAAAAAGGAAAGTATTTATTCTAGTTTCCTAAGTTAATTGCAACTTCCCAATTTGTGATCTGATCTCTCACCAATTCAAGTATTCAAATATATAATAAGGAATAATGGTCAAATAGGCCACTGAACTGTACACCAAGTTGCAGTTAGGCCATCGAACTCAAAAAAAGTACAATTAGGTCCCTGAACTACACAAATTCATGCAATTAAGTCTAAAATGACCTGTTTACCTAATACTTTGCTGACGTGGAGGTTGTAGATTTTAAAAATTATTTTTAAAATAATTTTAAACAAAAAATTAATTTTTAAAATACTCCGGCCGTTCCTTCGTCTCCATGGCAGGAGACGAAGGTCTCCAGCCATGGAGACGATCTTCGTCTCCTGCCATGGAGACGAAGACCTTCGTCTCCATGGCCTGGAGACGAGGACCTTCGTCTCCATGGGCAGGAGACGAAGGTCTCTTCGTCTCCCCGGCCGGAGAGACAAAGAGATTCGTCTCTCCGGCCAGGGAGACGAAGAGACCTTCGTCTCCTGGCCATGGAGACGAAGGTTCGTCTCCATGGCAGGAGACGAAGATCGTCTCCATGGCTGGAGACCTTCGTCTCCTGCCATGGAGACGAAGGAACGGCCGGAGACGATTTCGTCTCCGGCCGTTCTGTTTTTTTTTTTTTTTTTTTTTTTTTTTTTTTTTTTTTTTTAATTTTTAATTAATTTTTTGTTTAAAATTATTTTAAAAATTATTTTTAAAAATCTCAACCTACATAGCAAGTAAACATGTCATTTTAGACCTAATTGCATAAATTTGTGTAGTTCAGGGACCTAATTGCATCTTTTTGAGTTTGATGGCCTAATTGTAGTTTGGTGTGCAGTTCAGTGGCCTATTTGACCCTTATTCCATATAATAATAATAATAATAATAATAATAATAATAATAATTATTATTATTATTATTATTATTATTATTATTATTATTATTATTAAATTTCTTGAAAAGTTATTAATTAAAGCATTTGGTTCATTTAATTCTTTTAAAGGTATTCATAAAAAAACTAAAAAAAGGTTTAAGATATCATTTGCTACACTGAACAAGATAAGTATTTATTCTTTTTTGGGTATACCCAGGATTTTCACCTCTCTTTTGGGTGGGACGAGCTTGCCTGAAGATTACTTTTGGTTAAGGATGGATAAGTCCATTCTACCATTGTTTAAAACTTATATGGACTCAAGAATATAGGACAACAAGTATACATATATACAAGTATACAACACAAATAATAAACATGAGTTTATCTATCTATCTATATCTATACTATCTACTATATCTACTATATACTAATAAGAGCCCAAGAGAGTTAGGCCTATATATATACTAATAAGAGCCCAAGAGAGTTAGATCTATAATGGGTAGAAAAAATGGCGGTCAAATTTTTTAATCAAATGAATGACTCAGATTGATATGATTTTAATTTTTTCTTGAGATTTCCTAATTTATCCTTAATGAATATGATTATCTGTTAATTTTTCCGTTAAATATTATCTTTTCCGTTAATTTCTGTTAGTTTACCGTTAACTTACTCATTGATTTCAATAAGAAAGGTCTTAGGTTCGAACCCCATCCCAATCAAAGTTGGCATAATTAGTACTCTATTTTACTCTTATTAAATTATAACTAATTTTTCTACGCGCTTTGCGCGAATAAGACAATGCCCAATGATTATTTTTAAATAAATATTTCAAAGTATATCAATGCAATATTATATAGAAGATGTTCATGGTAAATAAATGTTGAATTTGTTTATTTAAATCGGTAATTTAAAGTATATAAATGCAAGATAATATATTAGAAATTGATTATATATAACTATAACAAAAATAAATGTTTGCAAGTTTGTAATAACGCTAATCTAAGTACTAAATCTAAAAGTAATAGTCTAAATAAATACTATTTTTTGTTTAAATTTTTCTAATTCTCTTTTGAATAGCATTGTTATTGTTTTCATCTTCAGTACATGCAATTGTGTCATGTGCAATTGAGTTATTGGTAGTATCATAGATGGATTAATCATGCAATGAGATTATGGTGTAGAAAGTTTTAGATTTGCCTTATTGTGTATATATGATTGGAATCTTAATTGTGTTATGAACTCCTCTTTATCTTACAAGCACATGTTGAAATTATTTTTTGTCGTAGCCACTAATTTATTTTTTAATTTAATTAATAAGAGCAATAAAGACCAAGACTATGTGGTCTAATGGTACCCGGGTTGGACTTCTATTTGGAAGATTGTGAATTCGAGCCTCAGTGGAGGCGTTATTGGTTCTTTGTGTTTCAGTATGTTGAGAAAGTATATGAACATATACTACAATGTAATAGAGCTAGTAACATTCAAAAAAAAAAATAAATAAGAGCAATAAAGTGGACAAAACTGTTCATAATTATGAATATATACTTTAAAGATTATGAACATAGAGTTGTGAACATATTGTTCTGTAATTATGAATATACAGATTCAATAATTGTGAATATGAAGTTCAAAAATTATGAATATATAATTTAGTAACTATGAACATAGAGTTCTGTAATTGTGAATATAGAGTTCAATAATTATGTATGAAGTTCAAAAATTATAAATATATAGCTTTATAATTATGAACACATAATAATTATGAACATAGAGCAGTGTCCACCTTGCAAGGTGGACACACGGTTTCACAGCACAACGATTGAATAAAGTGGCGTACATAATCATTGATTTTTTTAATTTCCATTTTTTATTGAGACAAATCGTTTCGAGAGCTTTTCAATGACAATTGCTGTCAATAGAGGATGATAATAAATAATTCAAAATATAAGGTTACAGTAGATATTATTATAATAATATAGTAAAAATTAACTTACAAATTTCTTTAGAAGTTTTCATGCATCGATTTCAAATATTAAATTTTGTTCTCAATAATCAAAAGAATATTAATTAAACAGAAAAAAAAAACTGAACTTAAATTTCTTTATTTTTTAATGAAAGAAAATTAAATGATTTTCCAAGTTCCTGATTTATAATCATTGAATACTATGTATTTAGTTGGACTAATTATTCGACCAAATTTTATGTTAAATTTTATATTATATACTAGTTTTTTTTACGCGTTTTGCGCGAATGGAATAATGCCCAATAATTATTTTTAAATAAGTATTTCAAAGTATATCAATGCAATATTATATAGGAGATGTTCATGCATAGGTAAATAAATGTTGTCAATAGAGGATGCTAATAAATAATTCAAAATATATGGTTACAATAGATATTAATATAATGATATAGTAAAAATTAACTTACAAATTTCTTTAGAAGTTTTCATGCATTGATAAAATTTTGATGTGTAAACTTGTTCAATTGGAGCTAGTAGGATGTTAACATTGTCAATTATTTGGAAAATGATCCTACCGTTTTAGACTCCATGTGTAATTGTACTTATGATCAACAACTTTGTAGTTAGGCCGCATAGGTCTGACAATGATGTAAGAACAATTTTGTCCGATAAAAAAATAACAGTATAATATTTGTAAAGTAATGTACAATTGTACCATTATAAAAAAAATACAAAAAATATTAATACCATAATGGCCTAAATCATTTCAATAATGCAAAAGCATAATTGAAATATTATGTTTTGTTCTAAATAATCAGATGAAGATTAATTAAACAAAAAAAAAAAAAAAAACTTAACCTAAATTTGATTTTTTTAAAATAAAAAATTCATGAAAATCAAATAATTTTAAAGTAGTTCTTGATTTATAATCTTTGATGCTCAACTTTGAATGTTATGTATTTAGTCGAGCTAATTATTTTATCAAAGTTTATTTTAAATTTTATATTATATTCTTTTAATACATTTTAACATATTCATAATATATGTTTAACAATTATGCCAACTATACTTGGGATGAGGTTCGAACCTAAGACCTTATATAAATTAAGAGTATGTTAATAATAATAAATAGTTAACGGAATATTCCGTTACTAAAGTTTAAACTAACGGAATTTATGGTTAAAAATATGAACCATTCATTTTAAGAAACAATTAGTACCGACATTTTTTTATTCCAGTTAAGGGCCTAACATTATTCGCTCTTATTAGAATTGTAGATTGTAGATAGATGTAGATGTAGAAATAATAATTTAGTAGCTCAATGAAAGTTGGCATAATTAGTACTATATTTTACTCTTATTAAATTAATATTATATAATAATTTAGTAGCTACAACAAAAAATAATACATATGCATTTCTGTAATTTAGAATTATGTGTCTACAATGCCTTTATTCAAAAAAAATTATTCATTATCAATAAATTAAATAAGAGAAATAATTTCATTAGTTATATTGTCTTTATTTTTCTCCAATATAAAAATTCTTTACATTCAAAATTCAAATTCATCAATTGATTATATTTGCTACATTGTCCCTATAATGTCTTTATTAGACAAATTTATTCATTATC